TTTGTGCTGTTATCTGCAACCATTGTTTGGTCTCGTTAGGTTAAATTTTAAATCTATCGTAAAGAGAAAGGACCAAGAAACAAGTTACGCTATAATGTCCACTGTTAGTGGACATTATAGCGTAACTTATAGTTTACTGGTCCTTTTCTTTACTATAAATTTATCCTTGGCTCTCCATCCGAAAAATCTATAACTACTTTTAAAAGTGAAATAGTTGATTTGAGGGGATTACTGATATGCCTGCAAAAAATTCACAGTGCTATCTTGTATGGTCACGTGACTATACACAACTGCTTTGTGTGTACTCCCGAATAGCCATGGCTGTGTCTTACTTACCCTGGCAGGTTACACCTACATCTTCACCATGGTTACAATCGTGATTATAGAGTTGTAGGCTCTGGCAATCAAGCAACCTGTTTTCACTTCCAGCGCATCGAACATCATCCAAGTGTATCGCACCACTGGCTGTGCCAAACCTGTGCACCACAATAATCACATGAAACAGGGGAATCCCAATTTACTTCCTTGTCACCTCCTTTTTAGGATAAGCAAACTTTTCAGTGTTCCATTAGGCCAGCCAGAATTAATTCACTGCTTCATATAAGTCACTCATGGTCGGTCGGTCGGTCGTTTTTTCTTCTCTAATATTTGGGCTTTTTCATGCCATGCATAAAGCGTTGCAGCTATTGTTCACTCATTTTGTGCACATCGGAATTATTGCCATCATGCAAAGTGCATGTTGTCCACCGTCGCAGCTTCTGAGTTATCATTATCACCGAACAAAAAGAGTAATGGTTCGAGTCCTGGCAGTGACAGTCAATTTTTTTTCAGACTTTTCCCTTTTGCATCTTTCCCTCCAACCAACGAAAGAAAGAGAGTAGTGTTGTCATGTTTTTGGATTGGTTTGGACGCCTGGCCTGCAGTTGATTTTTCATTTTTACAACTACATGTACTCCCACTTTTGACAAGGGGAGCTTATTGTCGTATCTGGCTGCGGAGGACCTAGTAGAAACATTATGAAACATCGGGGGTTCACCTAGGAACCAAAAGAGGAGGAACAGCAACCAACTACCGATATTCACTCGAGCAATTTATGTTTTTTAATATTATGGTTTACTTCGCCTTTAACAGATTGAGATTAGCCAATTTCCATCCTGCTTGGTTAGAAAACGCTATAGGTCCTTTCGGACCTATAGCGTTTTCCCACCATAAAGTACTGTGTGATCTGGAGTCATCATGTTCTTGCCATACTTGTCACGGTGACGTCAAGCAAAACAACTGCAAAAGCATGAGCTGCTGGGGTACATGTAAATGCCGTGTAATGTTCAGTCATGATGACAAAAACAAACAAAAAACAAACAACAGAACAGTGTATGGTTACCGATACGCAGTGTAGCCATGGTGACCGTGGGTGTACTGAGTGTAGCCTGGGTGACCGTGGGTGTACTGAGTGTAGCCATGGTGACCGTGGATGTACTGAGTGTAGCCATGGTGACCGTGGGTGTACTGAGTGTAGCCATGGTGACCGTGGGTGTACTGAGTGTAGCCATGGTGACTGTGGGTGTACTGAGTGTAGCCTGGGTGACCGTGGGTGTACTGAGTGTTGCCTGGGTGACCGTGGGTGTACTGAGTGTTGCCTGGGTGACCGTGGGTGTACTGAGTGTAGCCTGGGTGACTGTGGGTGTACTGAGTGTAGCCTGGGTGACCGTGGGTGTACTGAGTGTTGCCTGGGTGACCGTGGGTGTACTGAGTGTAACCTGGGTGACCGTGGGTGTACTGAGTGTTGCCTGGGTGACCGTGGGTGTACTGAATTACCTGACAGTTGACCTCCATCACTTGCGCATTGGATCTTTGTGTAAGTCACCTATTGATAGCGTTTCCCTGAATCATGACTTGATACATCCATTTATACAAAAGAGAAAGACCAAGGAACTACAAGTTACGCTATACTGTCCACTAACACCACCAGTTAATAAACAATCAGCTCATGAACGTCAGTACCGTCGGTCAGTGTCGTGCAATGTTATCGCATGAGCTGATTGTTTAGTAACTGGTGGTGTTAGTGGACAGTATAGCGTAACTTGTAGTTCCTTGGTCTTTCTCTTTTGTATAAATTAAACCGTGGCTCTCCATCTGAGTGCATTGATGCATCCATACTAATTTTTTTCAACTACCAATCATACCTCAACACCTGACGCTGAACATTTTTCCCATATGCACTTATCACGTAAGTAGTATGTGTCGAGCCGGTTTTGTGGTAGAATCATCCAAAGCCCGAAAAAATGGGGTACTATTGTCATGATGTCATACCCCTTCACCACCTCCAACACCCGAAAAATCATTTGTTTACGTAAAAATTGGGCGCCCGGTTTTTTACCCCAAAATGGGGTACTATCAATAGTACCCCATTTTTCGGGCTGGGGATGACCCTACCACAAAACCCGCTCGACACGTACTACTCACGTACATGTTTACCCCCATCACCACCTCACTCTTTCACTCTTAGGCTGCTCAATTGGATGCAGGAAGTAGGATTTGAGGCCTTGGCTACTTTGGTTATTGCTCTGATCTACTCACCTCCTCCTCTTTAGTTGCTGTATCTGCACTTTAAGCCGTTGATCCTTGAGGGTGGTGGTATTCCTAAGGATGCTGTAACTGAGTCTCTACGTGAACCGTGAATTTATGGCATTCTCACAATGTGGAACTTGATGCTGTTGCTGATAATGTTGTGACCAGTTCACCAGTTCTTTTGCTTTGCCAATTCTGTGCTCAACATTGACCTGGCTGTATTGGTTGTATTCGTTCGCCATCCCCCCAAAAAATGCCTGATGATGCCTGATAGCCAAAATACTGGCAAGCAGTCATAGAATAGGTGTTAAAGCTTATTGTTAGGTACCCCCTCCCGTACCTTTTCTAGCTGGCCTGCATGCACTCGCGTACTCACCTGTTGTCTCCTTTTGTTCTGTTGGCCTGGGTAGCTATTTGCGCGCCCATAATTGCCATAGCTACCCAGGCCCTTTATATTGCGTTGCTTCTCTCTTCAATAAGCTGTCTTTAATAATCACCATGTAGTCGTTTCGTTCGTCTGGTCTTAGTCATCCCGTCTCTAATAAATGTCGTTCCACCAACCTACCTGTTCCCGTTGTCAGTTGTCCTAATTCATACTCAACATTACCATAGAGTGTGGAATGATGATGTTATCTATTGTAAGAAAAACACTGCATTGGAGTTTGAGAGTTCAAGTAGACCCATCATCTTTACACACAGGATATGTGCATGATGGTTTCCACGAATAGGCGTGAAACTCTAAATTGTAAAAAAATCAGAGTGGTTCTCGTCTTCCACGCATGTGTCAAATGCTCAGTGCCAAGTATATTGAGTATTGCTCCAGAAGCTGTTGCTAACGTTACTCGTCTCCGTGGGTACTTCGAAGTACATGATGCATACCGTATTACAAGCACAGTCTCTTGTAGAAGCCCAGTCTCTATTATAAGCGCACTCCAAGAGGGCTTCGAAGATATACAAGCGCAGTCTCTAATATAAGCGCAGGGCTTATAATGGAGAACTGTATGGATCATGCCCATGCATGTTTGACATCACAAAGTGTCACATACCCACATGTGGTGGCACAAGTCTGCGAACTCTGAGGTAAAAATAACAAATTCAGCGTACCAGGGAGTACAAAACTGCATTCCTGATACCTGGTGGGAAGCTTTGTGCTACTGCTACTGGTGTAATGATAAAATGATGACCAATGTACATGTAACAGATGGTTTAACAATCATAAGCCTAGTCTCTAGTACAAGCCCAGTCTCTAGTACAAGCCCAGTCTCTAATTTAATGGAGATAATACGGTAACTGCATCACCATAGGAACGTACCGTTGAAGTCTATAAGATGATGGCTGACGAGGTAGAAGGCCCAGTTGTCTGCATGCTACCTTCTCGTCCGCATGATCCCAGTGATCATCACACACAGTTCCCCAACTGCCACGTCCGAATATTTCAAGACGTCCTCTGAAATGAGAGCCGCCATCCACAAGGCGAAGGTCACCTATGAGAAAACTCACACATATACGCACGCATATTCACATGCACGTGCACAAGGGCGTGCACATATACATACACACATACATTCATATACATACACATACTGTTGTGAATTCCAGCAGAAATCCAAGAGAGCTCGATACCGGGAAGGTAGAGCCGTGACACACTAGTCAGAACAACAGATGGCTTGATCAGTCACAACTTAAAGTTTCATGCCATCTCAGGCACTCATCAGGTTATGAACATCAAGAAAAATAACCCACTATTTAAAGCCCAGTATGGCGGGACGAGGATAACAGAAAGCGCTAGGGGCGCTATCAACTCATATCCCATTCAGTGTCATAGCCAGTAAGGATCGCGGTACTAAGGTGATAAAGGTGATAAAACCGAGCTGGCCCAGCTAGTGAGTTCCGCGGTGCAAAGATGATGATGACTGAATCGGATATTAGTTGATAGCGCCCCTAGCGCTTTCTGTTATCCGTGTCCCGCCTGGGCTTTAAATAGTGGGTTATTTTTCTTGATGTTCATATCACCTGATGAGTGCCTGAGATGGCATGAAACTTTAAGTTGTGACTGATCAAGCCATCTGTTGTTCTGACTAGTGTATACATACACATACATATGTCAACAAACAATGGATCACTCGTAATATTTCGCTACTCCGAGTTTCATGCACTGTGTGCAATCATCAGGCAAACAATATTCAATGCAGACTGGTCAAAGCATAATGGGAATTTAAGGTGGATGCAGGCGGAAGCAAGTGTAAGGCTTAGCGGGACCCCTGATACGTAATCAATGGGCCAACTTGCCGGCTGAGAAGTGTGTGAAGCTGAGTGCTAGATGACTATAGCATAGTGGGGCAGTGCAATTTGCCAAGGCGCTAGCTGTTGGATGCCTGTACTACAGCAGAGCCAATTTGCAGTGAGGGGGGGGGGGTTGCCAGCTGTTGGATGCCTGTACTACAGCAGAGCCAATTTGCCAAGGCGCTATCTGTTGGATGCCTGTACTACAGCAGAGCCAATTAAGTCCGACGAGTTACAGTTAGGTGCAATGGCGGCACTTGCCTCTTTGGTGGTGTTAGGATTCAGGTCATACACATACATATATACATATACATACGTACACACAGAACACATGCAGACATACACACATACACACATACACACGTACACACACACGCGCACATGTACATGCATACGAGAGCACATGTATTCACAAGTGAGAAAAGAAGCAAGTGTTGATGGATTCTATGCTCAGCTTTAGCAATCTTTCCAAAGCATCGCAGCACTAAACTCTGCTACAGCCACTTGAAGTGAATTCCGAAGAAAATGGCACTATGCATAATTGCAAGGCCAACCTCAATTTGAAGGTAAACAGTCAGGGGAAGTGAACTGCCTGAAAAGAGAAAAAAATGCCAGACCCTCCAGGACTTGAACCCGGGACCTTGCTTGTCATGAGCACTTCTCCCATCGACTGAGCTATGGGACCAGGCTGAACCTAGAAGGTGCTGACAAGTTTTTCGGAGTAAATATCCATGGGAAAGAGTTATGCAGCAAGTATCCACGACTGTCACAAGATAATAAGCAGTGATAAAGTACGATAACAGGGCACAAAACTGACAGGCTACTGAGACATTCAGCGCCCTGGGACCTAGCTCTAACACATCTCCAGTACGTAAACCAACAGCCTTCCAACTTGGAAGGTTCACGGTCCTGACTGCTTATTAGGGATGTTTAGTCCTACGTAATCCATGTGTGCTTTACGTGTGTGCACTATGTACGTAATACTCAGCGACGCATGTACAGCCGCTTTCTGATTCTCGACATACCGTGTATGGAGGCTCACCTATGTTTCGCTAGAACGTGAATGAAAATCAGAATGGAGCGCATTGTGCAAGCTGTGCGTCATTGTATTTGGGGGATTGTGTGTTGCGCCCTACACGGGAGCTCGCGCTTTTCCTGCCGACTTGAATTCTCACTTGACTAACTCATGAGCTTTCTTGCAGGTTTGCCGAGTGGACGGTTCGATGGCCTTATCGTGCGCTCTGGATGGCAGTCGTGATTCAGTCAACTGAGAATTCAAGTCAGCAGGAAAAGTGCGAGCTCCCATGTGGGGAGCAACACACAATTCCCCAAGTATCGGCGAAGTCGCATCAACCTCTTCTTCACATCATTGTATTTGATGGAAGGAATTGCATACACCGTGGCTCATTACTATTAATTTTTTCTCTCCTGTCTGCATCATTACGAATGCGTTTTAGATGAAAGATGCATTCCACAGAACTGCAGTCACGACAATACTCAGCCATACCTGGCAATGATGAGTGACTCCTTCCTCAAGCTCCCACAGAGGAGTAGGTGTTGCTCCTCCCGTCCGTAGGTAAACCAATGTGACAGGGTCAGCCCCGACCTAATCTGGTATAAATAATAATGGTACGGGCAGTCTTCCCTGAGTCGTCCAGTATCGACTAATGCCTTAGCTGCCTCTGGTATTTTACACTACAATCATACTGGTTGAATGGAGCTAGGCAAACACTGGACCTGACTGAGGCGAGAGCGAACTGCCCACAAGACCAGCAGATGAAGGTGGAACAAGGACATTTTCGCGAGCAATGCCACGGAAGTGAGCCGAACTCACTGTCTCAGCCCCGACATGGACAGCAATGCACTGAAAAGAACTAAGGGAAAGCAACCCAAATGAGCTAAATACACCCACCTGTCCGATGTGTACCTTTACAAAGCTGCAGACTGCTTCAAATATTACTTCAAGACGCACAAGAACACTGATACTAGAGTATAGAAGTATATGTACACTTCTTCAATGGCCGAGAGCTCTGTCGCACCCTGTAATAATAATTATGTACACTGTATGTATAGATTATAGACCGGTTAGGAGGTCTATACAGGATATATAGACCGAGTAAAAGACCGAGGTCCCCCGAGGTCTTTTACGAGGTCTATATATCCTGTATAGACCAACTATGAGGTCTATAATCTATTTATCGTGTTCTCCACGCAATAGTTTCTCTCCATATACGACATATCCTTGTAATTCTAGTATTATACTATAGCCTATACCGCATTGTACGGCAGTGCAGGATCAAGGTCAATGTTTAAATTAGGTTCAGCATCGGTAGCACAGTGGCTGGGTGGTAAGGAAGAGTGACTGAGATTCACATGGTTGTGGGTTCGAATCCCATCTTGTGTATTTCTGCTTTCTTCAAAAATTTCTTTTTCTAAGTTGGAGAGAAAATTTCTAAGTCCAAGAAATTCTAAGGAGTCAAATATATCGTGTATAAGCAGTCAAATACGCGATATATTTGACCGCTTAGGTATCAGGGAAATTAGTGGGGTCAAATACTAAGAAGGCGATAAATCGTATTATTCGGTATTGCCTGCTACAGGCGTAACTGCTATACCTCTACTTACCACTTCACATCGCAACATCATACCATCACTACATTCCTACAAATCATCACACCGCACGTTCGCTACATCACTACATCGTTGCACACTTTCACTACATCGCTTCATAATGTCTTGCAGTTTCAACTAGTCATTACGCATTTTCACTGCATTGCTAATTCACTATAATTATACTCCCACTAATCATTGTGAATGTTCACTATCATTGCACACCTTCACTTCATCATTTTTTTTAAGTATCTTCACTATTTTTTGTTTGTTGGTTTGTTTTGATTCTGTAGTTCGTTTCCTCAACAGCACAATGTACAACTCCAAAGAGTGTTGGACAGGAAAATAAATACCCGAGGGTCATCAGAAAAGGAGTGGGCTATTAAATCACTATACACTTTCACTGCCGCGCTATTCTAGTGGGCCGTTAGTGTAGCAACTTGCAGACGTCACCTTTTAGTTTTTTTCCACCTTTTAGTGCTGCGACTGGATTGTTCTATGTCTGCTAACGAGTTACGTTACTCAATCTCTGGACAGGTAGCTGTTTCCAACTTGTAAGGTCTCGGCAGCGGAGCTCCCAGTCATTGGTCAAACTGATCGCAATGCAATGCCAGTGAAAAACGAAGATTATAATTATAATTCTTTCTTACTTCGCTGCAACCACATATTTTCCTGCCAAACATTTTCCAGATGGTGTACCGATAAGGTGACATATTTCCTATTCCACAGTTTGAAAACACCCGACTTCAAAATGTTGACATTGAAAAGCTAAAGCACTGCTGTTTCCTTATCCTCTCATTTCTCAGGGGCCTCCCATACAAACTTAACCTCTGTCACGTGACTCACGTCCCAGATCTGATCTATTATATTTGTATACAAGTTATGACGGCATGATGATGTAACCGAATTCAGTGAACATGTCTAGTTGCTGTGAGCCGAATGGCGAGCCTCCTATCGACCTGGGAAAATGACCAAGCTTTGGTGCAAAGGAAAAAAAAACTTTTGATTGTTAACTTCCCAGGTCGATAGGAGGCTTGCCAATTTTTAGTTGCCATTCGGCTCACAGCAACTAGACATGTTCACTGAATTCGGTTACATCATCATGACGTCATAACTTGTATACAAATAGAATAGGTCAGATGACTCAGATCTTCCCCTTTAGACGTTCAGTACATTGCAGCTGCACCAATACACAGTATAGACTATAGAGGTATAGAGGTTGGTGGAATGATGAGTAGGGGTGTCTAATAGTGAGTCCACATTTGTTTAGACCCGCCAATAAAGACTAAAATAGTACAAAGAGAATAGGAGTGAAGGAAGAGAAGAATTAGAGGAAGTCAAAATTAATGACGAATTCAGAACCTGAGCAAAATGTCGGTCTTCATTGTGAAATTCTCGTGAACGATACGCTAAAGGCTCCGAATTTTATCAAACGAAACCTTCCATGAATCCATGATCAAGCTATATACATGCGAATGTAGTTCGAACTGGAGTTTCACCCCCACTGGCCGCCCACAGCGATCGATCATCAGACACCGAAAATTTCCACAATGCAAGTTAGGGTTTTCTTGCCTATGGCCATACAGATGAAAGATGGTGGGTATTGCAAACAACTTTCGAGTCAATGCGTTTCCCTGCGACTTGACACTTCTTGACTAGGTCCCACTAGGTGATGGCTTGCGTGGTGTGCACTTGCAGCTAGCTTAAATGCAGTGCTATCCAGGCTGAATGAGGCACCAACTTACTTACTCACTCTACACAAGCTGGTACCTGGTGGGTTCCTGTTACGCTGTGTACTAGTACTGAGAAGGGAGCGATGCTTTCTGGCAGGTTTTCTCAATCACGAGTCACCGGCCTTCCGGTATGCTCTGGATGACAGCCGTGAGTCGGTCTAGTGTCAAGTTGGCTGGAGAAGCTAGCATGGTAAAGTGGATACTAGTGCTACATTGTACGTGAACGCTCACTGCGCTTTCTAAAATCGCCAGCCATGCGAACGTAACGTTAGCTGTGGAACAGATTGTGTGCACCATGTTTCAAAGTTGTGCAATTCACGTGCTTCTGCACCACTTCCACAGTACCTGCGAGCCAAACAGGCAGGTGTGTTGGGAGAGACGGGAGGGGAGGGAGGGGGTGGTGGTGGAGGTGGGGGGGGGGGGTATAGGGGGGAGGTGCGTGTGTATTTTTTTGTGGGGGGGGGGGGGGGGCGAGTTCAGAGCACAAAACCCGCTTCTTGATTTCGCAAAATTTGATTTGATTTTGGATGCCGAACTCTACAGTCAGAATGGGTCATAATAATCTTTGGGAAAATAACTCCCTAGCGGATTACAAATTTCGAAGCGATATTTCTGGCTAGAATAGAGATCAGAAGGTATGCTATGATAATGGTAAAGTTTGGAAAATGATATCCATGTACAGAAGAAAATGAGGTAGTGGCTGCGCTGGACCAGAAGCTCATGAGTAAAAATCAGCACTCGTATAGGCACACGTTATGCATCATCACGGCTAATCGCTTTGTGGAAAACGGTTAGCGCCGCAAAGGGGTTTGAAGAGAACGTGCACATTACAGCGATTTGCACATGCAAATACATTGACAGTTCAATGTACAATGCCTACGCGCACTAACCGAATTTTAACAACACAATAATGATCATTTCCTCACCCTGTCGCTGGGCCACGCATTGATGATGCCGGTCAATCGATGCTAACAACAGCACAACAGCGAAAACCACCACGGCCGAATGACTTGCTTCCATTGTGTGCAAGACCACTTAGTCGGTGTTTTTCTGGCGAGGAAACACGATATAGACTACCTTCTTGGGAAGAGGCCAACTTCAAAAACCGGTACTTTCCAAACAATGGTCAGGACTGGGTATCTTATTAGCCAATACACATGCACATGTACATGTGGCTGTCCAAGGAGCATGAAGTGATCCTACACCGTAGAGCAGTGCAAGACAATGAAGCAAAGTATAACGTTATGACTTTGTGGTGAGCTGTATGGGTCCAAGTGTAAGTCTAGCTTGCTAGGTGGATGCAGTTACATGTATAACTAAGTAAATTCAGCTTTAGCTTAGTGGATCGCATCTAGACACTTAACTACATAATACATGTTGGTATTCAGCGTACATGTACACGCAGTTACTGGCTGCAGGCGAACACTGTCTTCGAAATGCTTGTTACGTTTGGCTCCACTCGCTGTGATGTGCCAAAATATGTCCTGAGCGCTAGCTCGTCCGTATCCTCACCAATCAGACGTGGTTTATCGAAGGCATCCTCCAAGCCTCCCCAAACCAGTCGGATATGCTTGTGGCAGCGGAACGTGCAGGATCTCGGACACGCATCGTCACAGTTTCGCCGACCAGATGTAACCATATTGTTGCAGTTCTAGGTCAGGTGTGACTAATAACAAACAACCGGTACTCACTGCACACAGTGTACTAACATGTGTGATCATCACGTCACTGCCTGCTATCATTAGTGTACTTGTAGCTCAGGTTGAATACCGGTAGATCTAGTACCACACCAGGCATATATCAGGCCAACCACTCACCTCTCTCATCTGTTTTGGGCTCGGCGCCGCATTAGGATGGCAGTTTCGAGTCATTCATTGAATTACATCTGCAGCTCCGGGAGCGGCGTCGATTTCGGGCCTTCTCATACGTACCCGAATCAGAGCGGTCTTCGGCGGTTACAAATGTCTGTTTGGTTTTCCAGTGAGAATGTGGGTTGTTGATTTTATGTCGGTAATGGTTAAGGATTGTGATGGTTCAATGGTGTCATGGAGATGGAGACTCTGTCTGCTATCTATCTATCTGTTGGTCACTACAATCAGCCTAGGACGTCCATCATTCAGCCTGGACAGTCAATCACACTGTTTTATTGGGCTTGTAGCCCGTGTGTACTTGCGAATACAAATACAAATATACATACACACTTGAGAGGGATGAAAAGCGTTTCTTCTGTAGCGTTTCTTCTGTAACCGTGAAACTCAGAGTTACAGAAGAAACGCTTTTCATCCCTCTCAAGTGTGTGTACTAGGCTCTGCACCTTGGTGTATTGAGCACTCTCACGAGCAACCACAACTCCCTCCGAGTTTACAAATATACATACATACACTTATCGCTCCCCACTCATTGAGAAGCCACAGCCACCTCAAGTATCAAAGCGAACATGCCGCTATATGTACTTTGTGTTAAGCGTTGGATGAGAGAAGCATATCAGATCTACCAGAACGTGGTCCAAGACCAAACGTCACATTCGCTGCTTACCATGCATCCCTCGTGCCCGATCGCGAGCTCCCAATTTACTGTAGGTCACATCCGGTCGTAACATTCCATGGCCTTCCATGCAGGACCGCCAATCCTGGACCTTATGGCATCTGTCTCTAGGCCAGGGTCGTAGACTCGTTGCCAGCCAAGCACACAGCAGCTAGTTTATTTGCTTTGTTTGTTTAGCTATATTTTACTTCACCAGAAGCACAGGCAAAATCTGCCTTCTCACTGGGCCCATTGCCGCAGTCATGCATGTCATTGGGTTTCTCGTCTCCGCTATCGAACTAGCAGACAAGCAGCTTCACAAAATGTGACGGGTCGCGGGAAACACAAGTCGATCGCGGCACTATCCGGTAGACACAGCCACTACAGGCTCTCTGGAGGTAACTTCTCATTTCCCGGCTGGCCGAAAGCAGACTCTTGCAATATTTCTTTTCACATTTTGAACTCCGAATTTCAAAATATTGCACCCAGGTTCGTGAGTGAGAACTTATCACATGTGTGTGTGTATGTGTGTGTGTGTGTGTGTGTGTATGTGTGTGTATGTATGTGTGTGTGTGTATGTGTGTGTGTGTATGTGTGTGTGTGTGTGTGTGTGTGTGTGTGTGTGTGTGTGTGTGTGTGTGTGTGTGTGTGTGTGTGTGTGTGTTACTGCCTATCTCAGTTTTACTCTTTCATGCCCATCACAAAATGTCAATATCGCATGTACTGCTTAGGATCTACACTCAACTGCTGCTTATCTTATACAATACCCGCTACTTGCTACCAATTATAGCACTAACGACTTGGTAATCTTTGCACTAACATCGCCACCTAGATAAGGTATGCTAACAGCTGAATTAGCTCATATCACAAGCTAGAAGACGGGCCTGGTATTGTTTTGATAAAACTCAGCTGAGCAGAAGAAAGTCTTTGGTGTCTGTTGTTTTACATCTCACTGTGTGTATGTAATCAATGTCTAATGACGTCATCCATGCTGAGTAAAATCCATGTGTCCATTATTCTGATAGTGAGATACGGTGTAGGTAGGAGTAGAGGAGTATTTGGCAGAACATGTTGATGGAGACAGGGCCCATGATGGAGATATGAAGCAATTGAGCGATGAGTCAAGGTAAACGACACTTTTAAAACAAGGACATGTGTTCATGTTGTGGTGTTAAGGTTCATTTATTTATATCGTGGAGCAACAGTATGAAATGGATATAAAGTACTAGACACGCTGATCTAATTCAGAGAAATTTTCTACATCTACACAAAATACAGCTTAGAGAACACTCCTTTCCCTCTATGAAGGGGCATTGGATGCGGTTTTCGTTTTCACAGGCTCCAGGGAAAAATGAAGTCGCATAACCCAACGTAAACCCTTAAGAGCCACAGGGAAATTTCAAAATTCTGCATTTTTTCCTGTTCCTTGGATCATAGCTTCAGTTCTAATCACTCAATCCTCACAACCTAGGGCTTCCTGGAAAGGTCCCCGCGAGAGGAAGAGAATAATGTCGATCATGATAGCCAGCACACCGTCTATCCGGAGCTAGATCGCAGCGACAGTACGAAAAATGCCCCAAATGCGTCCAAATGCGTCCCGCTCCAGATATTTCATTTTACTCAATCGTGGAGTTCCAATTTTTTCGCTGTATACTCTTGACAATATCAACAGTGAAACCCGTGCAAATTCGAGTAAACCAGCGTGACGAAAAGTCTCAAAATTCTCAATACTAAAGTCGCCCTGCGCGCTTTTGAAATTGCCGCGATCGCGGCTCAACTTACGATTGATTTATCTCAGGAACCGTTGCTCTCATGACAGGTGAGAGTTTTCTCTTCGCCCTGGATATTTCGATCCCTGGATTTGAGCGAGATTGGACTGAGTTAATTGCTGCCTCAGAAACCGCCAACTTGACAGGAAGCTTGTTGATCGATTCTTTGTTGATATTTTCCGAACACTGTATATCCTCTAAGGCGCACGTCTAGTGTACAGGAGGGTGGGAGGGCAAAAGAAATGCAGCACGTGATAATTGCCATGACATGACGTGTGTACGGTTCATTATCCATATAAAAATCGCTCTGTGAGCGGTTCTGAAAAACCTTTACTGGTACTGCCCCGTCGTAAAAGTAAGAAATTAGAACTGGCCCATTGTCCCCCCAAATGCGAACTGATCCACCTAAATCGCGAATGACGGGACCCGAACGCACCAGTAGCACGAGGTCGGGAGGGCACAGGATCACGGCAATTATCATAGGGTATACCAGTATTAGTAGTAGAATTTATTATTTTGATAGGGAAGCCTACCGCTAGTACAGTACATGGCCTATGGTCCGGACCAACGTCCCCATCTGCATCCACAGGTAGGAACCTCGTGCTACTGGTGCGTTCGGGTCCCGTCATTCGCGATTTAGGTGGATCAGTTCGCATTTGGGGGGACAATGGGCCAGTTCTAATTTCTTACTTTTACGACGGGGCAGTACCAGTAAAGGTTTTTCAGAACCGCTCACAGAGCGATTTTTATATGGATAATTTCAGCTCTTTTTCCGTTCCCTCCCCACCCCAACCCCGAAGGTAAACAAATACATGATGACCACGCACGCAATGTACTGTATGTAGCCATGCGACTGCAATAACACACTGATACATACCAGCCCTCCCCGCCTCGCTACCCCGCACACAGATACACAAACATGTGTATGCACACGGCACACACACGTGGCCACGCACACATACGCACATGCACACGACACAAACAGGAAATTCTTCATGTACATGTATAATGCCATGCAAAGCAGTGGCCACCGTACTTGAGGAAGTCAGTTGTGAAACAAAAATAATTCAACTACAGCGTGTAGACAAGCTGACGGCCAAAGCACAACATAGCAAACATGACATTTGCCCAAGGATTGCAGTTTGCAGACCATGCCATGGAAGCAGCGAATACAGAATGTAATATCATACAAAGTGACAAGCAAGGACGTGGCCATCATACACCAGAAACTTGCAGAAAGTCACATATCCAACAGATAGAGAAGTGAACAGCAATCTGATACAGCCCACACAGGACAAAGCGGACCTGATACTCGTCCCAGGATCGCAAGTGGCAAACCCTTTTCAATGCATAACATGCAGGTGTACGTTAGACGCATGAACATCTGACCGTGTCGCCAGCATACAATGTCATCACATGTTTACCCCACAAGTTACACACATGCACAGTAGAAGCACAATGAAAGCAATGGAAAAGTACGATGTGGTTGCTGAAGCATCTTCACACTTCAAATTCAGACTTCAATGTGGTCGTCACGGGATGATATACCTGCAAGATACAAGTGATGAAGAAAGAAAGCAGAAGGGTGTGAGGTAGGCTATGAGACACCACAAACGGTTCACCTACATGTCTGTTCAGGGCTAGTGCACTCACACGGAGAATTGTCATAATCGAGCATTTCCCAAACTGAGAAGTGCAATGAAATCCACTTGCATGCACAGGAGCAATTTTGCAATAATTATTATGATGCGCAATTCGACACGATCTGCGATGCTGCGTGCGATGTGCCCTGCTGTCATGATAGTGCCAGTCACCGCGGTATGTTTTGTCAACGTCGCCCGTGCACTCTTCTGTCAAGTCCAAAGTGCTCACATACTTGGCAATGTTTTTGCAGTGATTAACTTTTATCCTAGTTATGTCACGGGTAA